TCAGATTCTTAACCAGATACAGAATTGATAAAGTACCACATAGACTAGCTACTCCTGAACGGTATAAATTCAAGGCGGGAATCCAGCACAACAACACAAGTGAGAGACACAGGTAAGAAAGATTCGGGGCTTCAATAGTAACTGAATCTCGGTTGTACGGGGTATAACTCACGTAGCTTTAATAGTCACGTGAGTCTATACCATAGTGTCGGAAACGATAGGTAGCTTTAATAGTCACCTAACGTCTCCGGCCCCTGGGCGCTTTAACAGTGAACAGGGAAGGGCGTGTGACCTGCGACCTATAACACAACGCACGTAGCTTTAACAGTCACGTGTGTTTGCGTTATATCGTGTCGGCTGTCTGGCGAATTAGTATTTATAACATCAGCTCAGCTCATCAGCGATTTAGTTTAGTTTCGATCAGGTGGCCTACGGTTCTGTTCATCGTCATCGTGAAAACTTGAAGTGATAGGGTCTCACTAAATAAATTTCTTGTGTGGACCTTGGGGACGGCTGAGTTAAACCCCAGCTTAATACGAACCAAAGAAAGGTTCATTACAGTTCACAGGCCGAAATCCGGCTGAACAGAACAACGCTTACGACATCAATGAAAGATTTTGGTTGTCTTCACAAGATTCATTCACAACAGAAAAATGTACACCGGTCAAAATCAGACCAAAATCTGAAAGTTTACGCCGAAATGAATCTCTTGTTGTAATAATGGTGGAATTTGTACATACTCTTTTTCATTAAGTTGCATTATCTTATTTTCATATTTACTTCTTATCTGCATAATGAGTGAGGATGTGGGGTTTTTTCTCTTAGCAAATACCTCGAGGATTATCAGTTAAAACTCCATTTTAGTAACATTTTCCCCCAAATTTACTTTTTTAAAGGGAAGAAGAATACCGATATTGATGAGTATCTTATGCATCATGGCTATGCCTTTTGTGTGATAGCTTATCAGTTAAATAGTTGTAAATAGAGTTAGTAAGCCAATACCGGTTACAATTTCACAAAATCTACTATAATTATACGCAATTCTAAAATTTTGCTTTGCTGGTAAGGCACAAGTAATCTAATGGAAGCATTCTTCGTTTTCTAAACCAATAAATCATCTGCCTTATTTGTAGTAAATTAAGACTTAAAATGTGAGTTAAGTAATAGTTTACTCATAACTGATAATTAGTTCTGATAATCAGATGATCAATTTTAAAAAAATATAAGGATCACACACTTAATGTTAATTTTAGATTATATTGTTTTTTATTATACGGAATACTAAAACATGAATTTTGTATATCTAAATATCTTCTTATCAACAAACTATTAACTAAAGAAAAAATTTAACACAGACGATTTGATAAAAGACTCCTTTAGTTACCAGCTCGTTAATCTATTCTGTTGTACAAGTTATTTCTATATTCTGAAACTAGTCTATGATATATCTTAAACAAGCATTGAAATTCATGACTGCAGTTTACCATGTTACCCTCCATGCTCAGATAATCGTCCAAATACGCAATATATGAGGAGCCTACAATATCTTTAAAATCACTTAAAGAAATTCCAAAATCAATTCTTTGCGTATTCGTTGCGACCGTACATCGTGGGACCTCGTACACTGTTTCAGTAGATGCATCCACCGTATTTTGTCGCTTCAAGCCTTCCGTAAAATATAGCGAATCTACTTCTGCAAAGCTAAAGGGAAATAAGCCATTAGTTTTAAATGCCTTCTTTATATTTTGTTTTGTCAGTGTAGACTTTAGTGAGTACTTTAGTGTATCGACATAATCTCTGCTAGGTATGTGTTTTAGAGATGCTGCAAACCATTTATGAATTGAACTTGCCCATGCAAACTTAAGTTTTTGAAATGCCATATTATAGAGATTAAGTAAAACTATGTTCAGTTGCTTACAAGTGTCCAATAGTGCCATAGAGGGCGGTTGTTCCTGTTGATCAATAAACAAAATGACTGGAAATTCTACTTTTCTTTGCACTAAACCTGGATAGAGCACTTTTTGTATATAATGCCGTAAAACCTCACTATCTATAGCAGCTTGCGGTTGTGTGTATGTTGTCCAAATTTTCGGCAAAGTCACTTTTTGTGCTTTGATCGGTAATACAATCAATGGGGGCGTCGAACTGCCAGCGGCAGAGTAACTCATTATTATACTAAATTTTTCAAACCTTTCCACTGTACAATGAAATACACGATTTTCGTTAAGTAAAAATTTCGATAAGTCATTCTCATCCAAGTAAATTTTAATACCATCAAACCATTCACGTAATTGATTATAATCAAAATTCCAATTGGCTGGTGGTACTGAATATGAATCCATTATTTTTTTCACAGCTGGATGTTTCATACGAAATTGAGTATACCAGCGCTTACCAAATTCTGGATTACGTGTAAAGCGACCACTTTCCTTGAATAATTGAAATGCTGCCGCACATATTCCACAGTCATCACAGCTTGTAAAACGTGTACGCCAACAATCAACTACCCAACGTTCAATACGCAATTCTTCTTCTGGTGATAACAGTGATAACTTATCCTTTTTGCGACGTATTTCTTTCTCTGATCGTCTCTGTAGTGCTGCTACCGGTATACTGTAAATTGTGGAAGCCTTCTGTGTGGACATTCCCAATGCAATCGCTTGCATTGCAGTGCTGTAGTTTTCTTTAACAAATTTTTGTGGTTTCGGATATATAGACATATTTTTGCAATTTATTAAAAATGGTACACCAAATTTTTAAAAATTTATATCAAAACTTCGAAATTTTCGGAACTCAAAAATAAAATTTAATTAATTTTGAAATTCGAAAATGACGGCAAAATTTTGAAAATTTATCTGTTAAAAATGAAAGTTGCAAAAATTTTGATTATTTACATTGTTTCCGAAATATTTTCATAAAAAAATTTATTTTGAAAATAAATGAATGTAGTTAAAGATTGAAAAATGTTTGTTTGCTATGTTTGAAATAATTTCAATATATCCATTTTGACTTCTATTACTCAAATAAAATAACTTTCGCTCCTATAGGAACCTCAATAATTGTCTTAAAATTATATTTAAACATTATATTTTCGTAATGCTGGAACTCAGTTAGTGTATTACACTATAATAATTCAATAATAATATTGAAAATGAATATTAAAGTAAATCGATGTTAGGGATGTACGTCCGACTTGAAGCAAACGATTCAATATATAAAAATATATTATAAAGGCATCGGTAAACAACATTACTCTTAATAATGAAATTTAATATCATGATTTTAAATTGCAAAGCAAATCTGACTACAGAGGGAATCTTAAATTCTTTGATTAATATATACAAAAGTGTATTCATCTTTGAACTCTTGAATCAACTACCCAAAATATCAAAATTAAATGCAAGAATATGTATTAAAATTACCACAAAAATATGTCTCCTAATAGTACTTAAAATTCTTTCATCAATTTCTTTCATCAAATTTATTTCGACAATTAATAAAAACAACAAAATCATGCAAGGTATGATATTTACGGGCCTATACTCCGCAGGGTATTGAGAATGGCAGTGGGTAGTAAGTAAGCAAATTGGAAAGTTTAATATTATAGAAAAGAATATCTGTATAAAAAATCTATGTAATGGTTTAGTCAATAGCTATAATAAACTCATTTTGCTTCAAGTAGGTAATGCTGATAATGAAAAAAAAACAATTATTAATAAAATAGGTAAAATCAACTAGTTCCATTGTAATGTTATTATTTAAATTTATATAAGTTTCAATTTTAAAAATGAATATTATTTTAAAAAAAATAATTTTTATATTTAATTAGTGAAAAACAGCCCACTTGAGCTCAAATGATGGCCCATTGTGACGTCACAGGAGTGACGTTGGTATGTACATAGATTTAGATCAGTATACATTGAAAGCCGAACGAAGGTAACGACTTTCTCATTTGGTAAAGAAAAACCAACCTGACAGTTTCTATAAACCTGGCTAAGTCCCTAACATTACAGCATGACAGCTCAGTCAGATCGGTGAAAAGGGGATTCCAAGATTTTTAATCTTCTTCTAGTTAAGGAAGGATATTGACAGATGAGATAGAACACGGTTTCCTCCTCATCCTCAAAGCCACAACCTCGACAAAAGTCATTAAAGGGAAGACCCAGACTCATAGCATGCCTTCCTATTACACAGTGTCCCGTCAGCACAGATACCGTGGTGAAAAACATGAAAAACATATATATATATATAATTTTTATTGACTATTCAAATCTCTGTTATTTTATTCACTATGTTTAACTTAAGCGGAATTTATTCCTAAATTAATACACATAATTTAAATATTCACTATAAAATAAATTTTAACTGCATAATCTATGATGAGAAATACCTATGTGTAAAATTGCATTAACATTTTAATATACTTATATTATGTATGAATTTTGTTATTTAATCACAATTCCAAGAATATAAGTTAAATACTGCTTTGTGCTAAATAAATGCCCTTTAGATTTATTAACGAAAATTTCCACAAAATTAAATACCCAATTCCCAAGAAAATTTTGAAGAAAACAAGCATTTGGGTTAAGCACTAGAAAGCCTAAGTAGCGCGAAAAATCTACAACATATCGGTATTCCGTGATTATCCTTGAACGCAGCAAGTTACTCTTAATGCGGACGTTAAGGGTTTTTCGAGCAATAAAACAACTGCAATCATATACTTTACTCGGACGGGTAGGTATACTCTTAATTTTATAGCGAATAAATTATGTGCGGAAATATTTGTACTCCTGCTCGTAAGAGGTTAAATTCTTTTATGTTCGAGTTAATATTAAAATGCTAGTGATTAACGTTTTCAGCGTAGCACACGATCGCACAGGTAAGGGCCTGAAAACCTCAACAATTACATGAAAAGGGCATGCCTGGCAGTTGGTGATTTGCAGGATGTACGAATAGCGGTGCGAATTGCAGGCCTTAACAGGAGCAATAAAAAATAAAATTTAATTGTCGGTAGTAAAAACAATACAGAAACGAACGTGTGTAGATAATAAAATTTTAGGCCCTTTTTAAAACCCAAGCGAATGCACAAATATTTTTCAATCACAAATGCCTCCAAGGATGAATAATTAATGCGCCATGTTTCTTTGTTGTTAATAATTGAGCTAAAAGGAAGACACACTGAGTTGAAGTAAGATTTCCTATTTAAGAGTGAAGCTGTATTTTTATGATTGACCAGGGATGCCAAAACAAACTTTGGAAGTTAGGTCATAATGAAAATTTTATACAAATTAATAAAGAAATTGGTAAACTCAATTGTTTCATTTTTAATTTTTTTTGGACTGACTAGAAGTCCTCTTTCAAGTCGAATAAAATCTTTGCAAGAAGTAGGAGAAGATACGAATGTATTAGCAATTATATACAACTGCTAATTTTTGATTTAATAATTATTTAATTTAATAAATTTCAAATTTTAAGTCGAATTTTTTTCAGCCAATTTAAAAATTACAACGCATCCAATTATTTTTTACAATGCACCTGAGCATGCTATTATTTTTCTATATTAACTAATAATTTTGTCCTTTATATTATTTGTTATTAAATTTTATTACTTAAGTATGAACTCAACTAAATATTTTTATCGAATAACATGTATAGGGGATATTTTTCTACTGAGGTCATTCCGTATTTTGATTTTATTATTCATAAAAAAGCATTGTTAAAAAATTGTTAAAAATGCAGGGCGGGCATCAGTATTAAAAATTATAACTTAAGAATAATTTAATAAAGTAGAGCATATATAAATTTTAAAATTACTATAGGACATGCTCTACATTATTTCTTTCGATTTAAAAAATTCCGTGTCTCGACGTTACTCCTCTAAACCACCATCATTGTCCTAAAAATCCATATGGAATCAATTCCCCTTTACCTATCCAACTGCACACACCTGCTTTCAATCTTCTCCGCCTTGACATGGCCCTCTGCTTGATACTCTGATTTTTATTAATCGTTAAGTCCAAATTGAATTTTACACATTCTACATCCATGCATTTTTCGTTAAACCTATTATAACTTATGGAAATATAGAATTTATATATATAACTTGTTTTTTCATTATATTATATGCTAAATAATATTATATTTTTTTATGTTTTTGTTTTATTTTATTGTTTATTATTTATTATTTATTTATTTATTATTATTATTATTCATTATTTATTTATAATTATTTTTTTTTATATACATACACTTTGCAGTTCTTTTATTTACTTATGATATTAAAGAAATTTACTTGAAGGTAAAAAATGTTTATTGATGATACGAATTTTTATTAAATTTTAATATTCTTAATGATATAAAATTAATTTAATTTTCCCTTTTATAATTTTGTCCTTCCACTTAGAATTATTTCTTTAAAAATTTTGTATTTTAATGTAAACAAAGCCGCTCTGCTACCAAATGGAAGTTGAGTTTAGTTTGTTGTTTGTACCTTTTATATTGAGCAAAATTAAATTTTGTAAATATTTCCCCTGGTTGAAATCCTTTATAAATATAGTTATTTAGAATGATATTTTTTTATTGTGTTTGCATTTCCCTGAGTAACCATTTGAAAAGGAAAACAAAGTTCATAAAAAGCTTAAGAAAACGTTACCATAAAATATTGTATCTCAAGTAAAATAGAAAATAACTTTTAAAGTATTCAAGTATAGATAAAGTGTATTTTTCATATTTATATTTTAAAAAGTATTTTAATATATTTTTAGATTGAGAATTTATTAAAAATATTTTTTAGTAAAATATTACATATTTTATGTTTTTATTAATTTTCAATAACAATAATGCATATTGTCAAATTATTCGTCTACCTCAGGACGCACAGGAAGATATGCTGATCTACGGTCCGTCATAAGTTAGAAGATAAATAAATTATAATGATTCTAGTATAGTTAAAGCTTAGTGTGGGGCAGGGATAAGCCCTCTAGCCACAAAAGAGTAAAAGTGCGCAATAGCACTAACTCAAATCACAACAACAACAGCATAAACAGAAATTCACAAATATGTGATTTCTTAATTGAAATTAGTTATTTTAAATAATTTAAAAAAAACATAAATAACTAATTTACAAAAACAATTTGATTGGTGTCAAGAATTCGGAAGTTATTTTATTGCTTCCAATTATTCTTGGAAGTTATTAGAACAGTAAAAATTAAATTGACTTTTCGAATTTTTCAAAAAAATAAATTGTGAGGATGTAGATATTTGCATTCTGCTTTTATTCAACTAAAAAACTTCACCAACCATTATTTTTTTTAGTCACCAGTACTACTATTAATTTCCTGAACTCCTTCTAGACCATAGAGCCTCCACAATTGATTTAAATCGTATTTTATTAGGACCTGTTCTTGTGACATCATTCCAATAAAATTTGACGTGTGTTAATGTCTTTTTAATTGTTCTCTACCATGTTTTTGCTGGTCCACCGCGTCGCCGACTACCTTGTAGACTCCATCTCAGTGCTCGCCTTGCTATATCATTTGATGGTCGTTGAAGTGTGTGCCCGATGCAGGCTCATTTGGGTTTTGTTTAAAGGACCAGTACTACGCTGTTCAATATGTTTGGAAGAGTTGTTATTGTCTATCGACGATTTTTGAGCACCAAACTTTTAATTTCTCTGAAGTATTGTTTGTTAGTTAATGTGTTGAAGGTTGTTCAGTGTAGTTTTTATTATCAACGTTTTTATTGGTATCACAAGTAGTTATTTTTTGTGACATAGTCTGATCACCGAACGTTTTCTACTACATTTTCAACATTTTATCTAATTTCACACGATACTTTTGTTTATAATTTTAGCTGTCAAAAATGATCATTTTGCATTGAAAGCAACAACAATTGATAGCTTAAATTACAAACATGACAGCTAAAATTACAAGCAAAAGTCTCGTGTGAATCTAATATTACAGAATCTGATAACACAAAACTATTGGATAAATACAGGTATTGGCATGAAATATGACACAGCTTTCAAAGACAGTACTACGCAACCAAAAAAAGAAGAGTTGCCAGGATTGAACACACGGGTAATGTCTTAAATGTAAATATTTACCTTATATTTTTATTATTTTTATTTTTTTATACAGTTTTCATGGCCAAAATTTTGCACTCAATCTTGTTCTGTCGCAATCAATTCATAAATAAAATCCATTAAATTTTAGTTAAAACTGCATTATAAGAAAAACAACTATATACATATTTAGATGCATTATATATTTACTAAAAGTGTTACCTTCCTTATTCGTCCTTGCACTCAAGTCCTGAAACAAATTTTCGATTTGACAATTTGACTAACATCAAAACTATGTGTTTGACGCCAAGCAATTTCGAAATTAATTTTGCTGTCATTCTGCAGTAGTTGTTGGCATTTATATAAAAACGTTTAAAATATGGCATTGAATTAAATGTCACAGCAGATATTTTATTTTTAAAATATATTTTCAAATAACGTTTTGCTCTTCAATTAAATATATAAACTTTGTGTTTATCGATTTTTTTATAAATTTTTTTTTCATTAAATCAATGTATTTTGACTCTTAATATATAAAAATGATTGTCATATTTTATTGTATTGCGGCCCTTAGATTTTATTTTGAGGTAAGAACATAAATAGAACATAAAATTATTTCATTCGCTATTATTTACATGTAATTAAATGTTTTTAAATATTTAATTAAGATAAGTATATAAAATATTTAAATCTAATTTAATTATAATATGCTTTTATTTAATTTGATGTCAATCAATACCTCTTTTCTTTGTTGGTATCTAATTTGTTTCTTAGTGTGCGCAGTTCTACATGTATTCTACATATATATGTTGGTTTCCGATAAATCTTTAGTTGACTTAGTGACCGACAATTTGGGTTTTTCGCTCATGCTTGAGTGTTGAGTGTTTCGGGTTAGTGTGACACATTAAATATCGCACACAACGTATTGTGTGTGGTCATGGTTAATATACCACTACAGCTGATTGCCTGTTTAATCGAGCTGTTACAAAATTCAGGTCTCTGTAAAGATTCTTACTTTTGATCTTCTAAGGGATACTATTTACTATTCTTTACAATGCTATAGTTTACCAGGTTTACAGTTTGCTGATAGCATTTGGTTGTTTTCTGATATTATACACTATACTTATATCAGATCTCTGTAAAGATCCGTACCTTCGATGTTTCAATGACTATACACCATATTTCTCAATGCTATGGTTTGACAGATTTAAAGTTTGCTGTTGGTTGTTTTCTGATATTTCAGTATTCTATTATATGAATAAGTAAATATGGCTTTATTCAAAAATAATTATAATCATCAGGACTAGTGTGTTATTAGTTAATAAATGTTTTATGGTAACATCTGAAGCTATTTTAGTTATAATATATATATACAAATAAAAATTTATTGTAATGTTATTTTTTTCTTGCCGAAAGTGACGACTCTAAGTTGACAGACACGTATTCTCAGAGCCTGGCAATTACAGTTCAAACAAATTATGTGCGAACTATAAACTTATTAAAAAATTCAAATATTTCCTAAGACCACTGGAGATGAGTACTTGACAATACTCAAAACAGTGTTGTGTGGTCGGCCAAATTTGAATAAATCTGTTAAAATTTTTGTTGTTGTCTTCTCATTTCTATTTAAACTCTTCTTACTTCAAAAATTTATTTTATTTTATTAAAATAATAATAATTTATAAACAATAGTTTTAACAACAAATAGAACTGATATTTATTGACATAAACGAAACAGTTGAAGAAATTAATTTATATTAAATTGAATGTATTTTATTTGCAGATTAATAAAATTTTTTTATTACCTCTCTTACAATTTTGGACAAATAATTATAATACAACAGTAACAGAAGATTGTAAGTAAATAATCAAATAAATTATTATACCTTAAGATATTATCTAAAATTAATTTTCATTTGTTTTTATTCACATTAATAATTCGCAAAATTCTCATAATAATCAAAAAAGTATAAAGCGAAGATAGTTTTATTACTAATCGGCGAAGGTGATAATAATAGGTAATAGTTTTCAAATCAAAATTTTTTCTATTACTGTTTGAAATAATTTACTCTATTTAAGGTTACTGGAAATCAAGTGGCGTTTCTGGTTTGTTGACTGTTTATCTTTGACTAGAAAAGTTGCTAATAAGTTGTAAAAAGGAAAAGACTGCTGGGGCAAGCCAAAAACAAAATCCTGCTATCGCTGTGGAGAACCTTAAACAGGTTGGAGAATTACTTTTGAATTACTAAAGATAATATAGACATTGTTATCCCGGTCTATCTCCAGTAAATACTGAGTGAACGGATTATATTCAATGGAAACTTTCATGTCTCAACAAATACCACAAATTATGAAAAATCTTTCTTTGCTGCAAATTTTTTTGAATGTCTAGAAACGCATGCCGAAACCCCAAAGTCCAAAAAAGTGAAACTAAAGTACATTTGAATCTTTCTTTTATGATTTTGATATAAACCTGCTTAAGTTTAGCTGTATCTATTATATATTTATATTTCGCGAATGATTGTCTGTTTTTTATATACAGTAACGTAAACTAAAATCTTTCAAAATCCAATGAACGAAGAAAAAATTAAAAGTTCATAAAATAATTTTTTAATTGTAGTTTTATTTAAGTACATAAACTTTGTTTCATCTAATTAAATTCCATTATTATTTTTTAAATAGTATCAAATTTCAGAAGGTCAATATCATACATTTTATTTAATAATACTTAAAGAAACATTGGTTGATTTCAGTCGGTGGTCAAGTTTCATTACTTGGTCAAGTAAAAGAGGAAATAAAACGTTTGTGATGTAACAGCTTCAGAAATCCTGATGTGTTAGACTCCAAACATTCTAATCTACGACATTCTGCATGCGCAAACAAGATCTGCCTTGCTTTTGCATATCAGAAAAGGTTAACCGAAAAACGTCCGGTTACTATTAGTTTAATATTAGTAAATTAATAATATTTAGATCTGGGCATATGTCGGAATTAAACTAATACATTTAATAATTGGCTTGATGAAATATCTATGAAATCTTTTCACTGCCACAAACAAATGTAGCTTCAAGTGCGATCTATACTTATTTTTAAACTAAATTTGTATTTCAAAAAAAGCTACCAAGAGCATCACAATCTAAAATATTTTTACGCACTTACAACCTTACTTAGTTTTAAACTAAATTTATATTTTAATTTATTATATATTTCATATTATATATTTTAATCTTACTACTAAATAGGAAATGCTACTAAGATTATCACAATCTAAAATGCTTTTAGGGACTTTTAACCTAAAACGCTTCAAGGATTGCATTTAGAACAAACAAAGAGTAACATAAGAATTATTTCGGGATTAGTAACCGGTCAGTGTAGATTGTATAATCACCTAACAAAGTTAGAAACCCAATTCAACACAGACTGCAGTTACTATAGAGAAGAGAGAGAAACCGCATACCATTTGTTGGGAGAGTACCTGACACTGATGTACAAGCGAAAGAAACACCTAAGAGGCTATTTTATGGAATATAGGAAACAAGACTAGGAAAGATAAGCCCTGTACTGTCATGCATTAAAGAAATCGGACTTGGAGAATACTCAAATTAGTCAGTGAGATGGGCGGGACTCTGCAGAAACTCCCCAGCCATCATAGAGTAAAAGTACCCAGATGCACTAATTTGGAGAATGCTCAACATAAGACTTGGAGAAACACTTTAATCCGATTAAGAGGTACAATAGATCTTTTAGGTCGCAGTCTACTATCCCTTTTTCCTATTAATAACTACTACTAGTTAACTACTAAGTAAACAATTGAATTGTAATATGCTTGATATTATATATATATATATATATATATATATATATATATATATATATATATATATATATATATATATATATATTATCAAAAGCTTCTGTTATAATAGAATTTCGTATATGAATAAATTTATAAGCTATCACTTAACTTATACCACATATTCATATCATATTAAACTATCAAATATATATCAAATATTTTTAATGCTAGCAATTAAATGTAATTACATTTTGTGGAAGTTTTTCTCTATTGTATATTATGAATAACTTTTTTCTCCTAACTTAAGCCACTGAAATGCATATGAGATTGATTTCAATCTTTGTCTGGCAAATCGCTTAACTATTTTCTTTTAAGTGCCTACACAAATGTTTATTGTTCCATTAAATTGATTTATGTTTCCTTTATGCTTCGAAGTATTAAATCAAATATTACTGCATTCTTTATCCTGTCAGAGTATTACAATATTTTTGTTAGTATATACGAGTATCACCAAGTTAGGAAAACTAAAATTTCCTCATGAATTACAAAGTAGTTATCAACAAATTGCTTGCAATAAATCAATCAAAATTACATTCAATTTATACATATTTCAACTTATACAACAAATTTCGTATGAATAAATAAATATTCTCAAACAAAAATCCAGAATAAATAAATATACACAATAAATTCAAGATAAAAATAAATACAGCAAGAATCTTTGGACTTGAATTTCTTATCTGACTTTAAATATTTATCGTGTACCATATTTTTACTGCAAGTTTGTAAGTATAAACGTTTGCATACAATAAAAAGTTAAATATTATGAAAATATTTTTGTTGATAAATGAACGTATTTGCTTGAAATTGAAATAAATCTGGATATCAATATTTATATTTAACAAAAAATCTGACTTCAGTTAAAGTTTCAGCCTTCAATATATGCATTCGACAAATAAATAATATAATTTATAATTCTATGCTTAGTAGAGTAAATACGATAGTTTTACAGAACTTATTTCAAATCAATTTCGTTAATGCTTTTATTATATGAGTAAACTTAAATATCTGATTATTTACAGAATATTAAATCGTATATTAAATCTTAAGAACTTTCTTACTCGCTTCCATTAGTTATTGCTTCCTTTCAATACTTAAGTTATTCTCAAACGAATTTTGCATACATCATTGACTCAAGATACAAAGAAATCTGCTTGTGTTGAATCATAACTTGAAATTTAATACTATCGATATAAGTTGCTACAACTGACTGAATTAAGTGCAGTTGTTCTATTTTCATATTAGTTATTCAATAATCTGCATTACTTAAGATTTTTACTTTAAAACCTGCATAAACTTATATTTTCAATTTCCGAAATATATCTGAAACCTTAATAAACATATCTTATATTTGAATGATTTCTCACAAGTATCAGAGCAGCTTCATTAACAAGGATGCAGCATAACATATTCATCATGAATATGATGATGAATAATATTCATTGACATTAACTATTAATACTTTGTTCAGAAATTAAGTTAATTTCGAAAGTGTTCATACTGCACCAAATTAAGTAAATCACATATTTTTTTTGTTTACAAATCAAATGTTAAATACATGTTCCAAGCACCATTGGTATTTGGGAAATTTTAAAAGTTGATTATTATAACTGTTAAGGATGTCATTCAGTAGTTTTATTATCTTTATTGGATTTCAGGTATGTGAATTATTATTTTTCACTCTAATTTAAATGAATAACAGTTACAGTTCTTTCTCTATATTCAAGTTTAATATTTTGCACTACTTTCAAAATATTTCCCGGTTTAAAAATGTCACTTTTTCGTTATATCAACTGTCCCTTAATTCCAGTCTTCATTTCAACGAAATTAAGGCCATTTTCCTTAATTTCATTCTAACCTCAAATCTGATTTTTGTATGGAAACAACAACTTAATTTCACTAAAACGAAGATAAAATTAAGATTTTTGCCTTGACAAAATACTTAATCATATCAAAAAGGTTATTAATCTGCTTTCAAATGTTACAGAATATACGTTTAACAATTATAACATGGCTTGGTCAATTGACATGACAATCTTTCTCTTAGAGAGCTTATGAAATCTTAATTTACAATAGGATCATTCTCAGCAACTGTTTTTATTGACCGAATTCTGGTAGGTAGATAGGTGAAGTGGAAAGAGAATCAAATCATCCTCAATTAACTAAGTAAGACATTTTAATACCATCTTCATTGGAATATTGAACAGAAACTTTGGTATATTCAAACGCATTGTTAAATATAAATATCTAACCAATACTAAACATGAATGTATGGGCCAATAAATTAAAGAGCTCCCAAAAACTTAAGTTCATTCTGAAAAAGCCTCGACATTGACTCAAGAAGTATTCCAGTGTCTCTTCCTTGAGCGCCGGTAAATATATACTACAATATATACTGGCGTCATGTAGTTCTATAATCTAATGTCCCATTAAGATTGATTTTACTGAGATACTTCCGATTTACTTATGTGGACTAACTCAGAGGTTCATATATAGAGTGAAAAAGCCATGTTGTTTTTGATCTAGCTACTGAAGAAATATTAGCCACATGCCCCATACTGAATGCGTACTTTGAAATATAAAATATAAACGATTTAAGAAGATCTGGATGGATTCCAAACCCTGGGTGGCATTCCAAACAGCTCAATCGTGTGAATAACGAAAATAAGAGATTTATCAATCTTAATATTATTGATCTGAGCGCAGATTATTTTTTTTTAGCATGACATGCCCACCATCTCTGGTTAACAGCCACCATTTTTCAAAGTTAGAACATAAAAACACAGAGACCTGTGTATTTTAGAAACGTAGAGTAAAACTTCTGCCCATTTTATCTGTTTGTATTTAGAGCTTTCCTGGAAATGATTTCATGGAATAGAATATGGTTCCTAATATTGGACTATCTTATTCGTTTCGTCTTTTGTGAATTGTCTTTAATATAAGACTTTTATTTTCCTTGCATCTTTACTAAGGACATCTTTTTTTTTTTTGATGTTTTATTTGCCATAATTATATTTTCCATAATTTAAGTCGTCATTACTGTGATGTCATCCATTTCATCTCTTTTATTTTTCCGGCCGTACTCTCGTTAATGAAATATTTTTACATCGTATCATTATATTACAAACAAAACATTACAATGTTAATGATATGATATATTTAGGCAAATATAATTCAACATAATAACTACCTACTAATCAATTAAGTTACATATTTAAATGCTATGTTGCAAATTTGTAGCCTTTAAATCTACTAAATTTTACCAAATCAGTATTTTTTTATTAACGTTTTCGTCCTTGGTTTGCATTCTACTTCTTAGTATTCTGTAAACCTAAGAGAAACACAAAATATCTTCTAATAAATGCGATTTATTTCCAAATCTTATTGTCAATAACCACCAACGTGGTCACTACCCATCTTCCATACATATTACATATAATATTTATATCTTCCTTCCGGTCAACACAAAGATTCAATTCAACTAAGATTTTTATATTCATTTTGCTTTATTAATAAATTTTACTGTCAAGCAAACAAGTGACAGGACAGCAAGGACACAAGTGTAAACGGCAAGCAGAAAAAAATAAAAAAAAATAAAAAAAATGTATTAATGCCGTATTCTGCATGAAATTTCAATACGAAAAATCTATGAAATTGATTTTGTGGCTTTAAGAACTTCATTGAAATTCCTATGAGATTTTACACTTCAGGAAGGTTAACACAGATATTT